TGTTAGTTTTTCCAACAATTATGGTGATGTATGGGAGAGGTAAGCAATGATGCAACTCTCCTTAGTGAGATAAGCAATGATGCAATGAGTGGTAGGTGAGATGGGAATATTGCAAATTGATCCTTCTTGGTAGGTGAGATTTGCACTTTTGGTCCCTATCTCAAAACTATAAATACCCCCTTCCATTTCATTGTATAACACACCAAAAAAAAATATATCAAAACTCAAGAAGAAAGAGTTTGAGAGGGAGAGAGATATAGTTCCTTTAGGAATGTTTCCTAACAGGGGAGTGACAAAATAGTGAGTAGAATACTAGTCGGGTATTTTTCGGGAAACACTTTTGTGTGCGCCACTATTTTGGGTAGAGCTCAGGAATTGTTGTACCTCCAAATTATTGGGGAAGTCTCTCTTTGTATGCCTGCTAAATGTTTTAGTGGAAGTTGGTGTCGGATTTGTGGACGTAGCCTAAATGTTTTAGGTGAACCACGTTAAATATTGTGTCATTTATTTTTGGTTTCGTTGATCATTTATTTTATTCCACTGTGCAGTAGTGTTTAGTGCCACCGGGTCCTAACAAATTGGATATGGACAATTGCAAAGGTATTTCTACTCCCATGTGTTCCAGTGTACCACTTCGACTAGGTGATGGTTCTCCACCTACTGATGCCACACGTTACCAGCGCACCCTTGGAAAGTTGCAGTATTTGTCCATCACTCGGCCTGACATCTCTTATGCAGTCAATAAATTGTCGCAATTTATGCATGCGCCGACTGATAATCATTGGAAAGCGGTTAAAAGAGTACTACGGTATCTCAAAGAAACAACGAGTTCAGGACTTCGCATCCTTCGCAGCTCTGGCTCTAATTTGTATATGTATGCTGATGCGGACTGGGCAGGCGATCCGAATGACAGAATCTCTACATCAGGTTACATCCTTTCTTTGGACCAAATCCAGTTAGTTGGTCATCAAGAAAGCAACATGCTGTGGCTCGATCATCCACCGAGGCAGAGTACAAATCAGTGGCCAATGCACTTTCGGAGCTCACTTGGGTGCGAAACTTACTGCATGAGTTACATGTCACCATTTTGAAGACACCAACCATCTATTGTGACAATGTTGGAGTTACTTATTTATCTCACAACCCAGTGTTTCATACCCGTATGAAACATGTTGCTGTAGATTTTGCATATGTCCGTGACCAGGTTCAAGCTCAGCAAGTTCATGTTACTCACATTCATGCTTGTGATCAACTTGCTAATACCTTCACCAAGCCACTACCTAAATCAGCATTTACTAGGTGTCGTTCCAAGATGGGCATTGTTGCACCATGCCTGACTTGAGGGGGTGTATTAACTATATTATGTTCTGTATATTTTCACTAACTCATATGTTCTGTATATTTTCACTAACTCATTTATTAGTTAGTTATAGTTTGAATAAGTCTCCTAATGTTTTGGAGCATATCTAGGAGTAGTTATTAGTTCCTATTATATGGGAGCTTCTTTAGCAGTAGTTGCCTACACTTTAGCTTTAGTTGGTTGTAGTTCATGTATTTAAAAGCCTACTGCCAGATTCAATAAATCTATCCTTTGAGCTCTTTCTACTCTAAATCTTATATTTATAAGGCCTGTAATTATGACGGTTGTCATGACAGTGACGTTTTGGCTGCTATGAATGTAGCTATTGACGATGGTGTTGATATCTTGTCACTTTCCCTTGGTGGAAGCATTACGTGCTTCCCCTTTGATCCCATTGCACAAGGTGCATATAGTGCGACAAAAAGAGGTATTCTTGTAAGTTGCTCTGCGGGTAACTATGGTCCAAATAATAGCACTGATGCAAACGCAGCCCCATGGATTCTCACTATAGGAGCAAGTACTCTTGACAGGAAAATTAAGGCAACCGTTCAGCTTGGAAACAAACAAGAATTCGAGGGTGAATCATCTTTTCATCCAAAGGCTTTCAATTCAGCATTTTCCCCTTTATATGAACCTGGAAAAAATGAAAGTGACTCTGATGAGAGCCCTTTTTGCTAACCGGATTTAACGTTCCCACGTAATGAAGGCAAAATAGTCTTGTGTAAGATAGGTGGTCGTGTTACCAGATTTGAGAAAGGCGAAGCTGTAAAGAATTCTGGAGGTGTTGGCATGATTATCATCAATGGAGAGGAAGATGGTTTCACAATGTCAGCCGATGCTCACGTCCTTCCTGCCCTGGATGTTACTTATGCAGATGGAATGAAAATTCTTGCATACGTGAATTCAACAAAGATACCTGTTGCTAGAATTACATTCCAAGGAACAATAATAGGAGGTAAAAGTGCACCAGTGGTTGCTTCATTTTCTTCTCGAGGACCAAATATTGCCAGTCCTGGAATTTTGAAGCCTGATATTATTGGTCCTGGTGTTAACATTCTTGCTGCTTGGCCTACTTCTGTTAAGAACAACACCAACACAAAATCTACCTTCAACATAATTTCCGGTACCTCTATGTCATGTCCTCACCTCAGTGGAGTTGCAGCATTGCTTAAAAGCGCGCACCCCACTTGGTCTCCTACAGCTATCAAGTCAGCAATAATGACAACTGCCGATACAGTAGACCTTGCCAACAATCCAATCCTAGATGAAAGGCTCCTTCCTGCTAATATCTTCGCCATTGGTGCAGGACATGTCAATCCATCAAGAGCAAGTGATCCCCGACTAATTTATGATACCAAATTCAAGGACTACTTACCTTATCTATGTGGTTTTAATTACACAAATCAAGAGCTTGAAAGCATTCTATAACGCAATGTGAATTGCTCGGAAGTCAAAAGTATACCCGAAGCACAACTGAATTACCCTTCATTTTCCATCACACTCGTAGCAAATTCTCAAGCGTATACAAGAACAACCACTAACGTCGGTGAGGCTAAATCATTTTATAGCGTGGAGATCGTTTCACCACCAGGAGTTCCCGTAATTGTTAAGCCCTCTACTCTAAAATTCTCTAAGTTGAACCAGAAGTTGACATACCAAGTGATCTTTTCCAAATCAAACAATAGTTCAAATAATGATGTAGTTCAAGGATTCTTGAAATGGACTAGTACTACACACTCCGTAAGAAGTCCCATAGCAGTTGTGCTAGTCTTGTAACCTTTGTAAATCTTTGTGATATTTTACATATGAGTTTCTTCTAAATTTCCCTCTTGTTCTTTCTTTCGAATAGATAGAAAGGCCGGTCCATCTATGAAAATAGAGTAAGAATACTCTAAGAAAGTTAGCTTATTGTAGTACGAAAGTTTTCTGAGTTATAACAGCTAAAGTTGGTTATGGTACAAAAGTTTTCTGAGTTGTGTAGCTTGGCAAGCCGTCCCTTATGGGTTGTTAAAGTCATCCCCTTTGTAGGAAAACTTTTGCGACAATAAACAAATTAACTGCTAGTATAGCTTTGCAAGCCGTTCCTTATGGGTTGTTGAAGCCAACTTTTTTTGTAGGGAAACTTTCGTATCTATGATTTAATTTGCTTTCTTGGAGTCTCTTGCTATGTTCTTTATGTTGCGGAAGCCAAATGTATATAGTGTGAATAAGTCACAACTACTATACCAAAAATTA